TGTTCAAACCTCACAATTCGTATTATATTGGCTTTTTATTACATAAAAAGCTGATTACTTTTAGTGCTCTCAGTACAGGATTGTATGGCAACAGCTGTTTATATTATAATTATATTGGCATGCATATGCGTTTAATGCCTCAGCAAATCCAAGCGCCTTACAACAACATCTCGTTTCAAACAATTCGCAGGGCACCTCCAGTGGCAGCTGTACCCTATGCGACGCAAAGTGACTTCAGCAACAGGGCATTAGTCTTACCAATGGGTGGGGGAGGGCGATTGTTGCTGCTTTGTACGTGTACATTACAACTGAATAATTGTGTATGTGGCGATGTTGATGCGAGAAACGGGATGCGATTCTATCTAGGGTTATCGATTGCATCATTATCGACACACCATTGCGCCGTTATTGCAACATGTAAATGGGTCGCTATGCGGTTGAAGAGTGGCGACCCATCCAGCATGCGCAATTGCAAAACAACATTCGTACACTTGAGTGAGCAATTTCACGGAAGCTCCCCAGTAAACATGCCAACGTTGTGTTCACGTAATGAGTACGAGTGTATGATTGTACGAGTATGTGTGAACGTGTGTGTGTGTAGGTATGGTGGGTGAATAAGAGCGTTGTGTTTATCTTGTAATCTTAACGTAATGGTACGGGAGTGCCAAGATTCCGGCTGTCACCAGATCACCCGGAGTGCACCAGATCACGGAAGCTCCCCATTAAACAAGCCAACATTCGGTCAACCTTGACGTGTGGTTTGGAACCTTTGGACGAACGTTGGCCCAGAGTCCGATTATTTACTGGATAATCATGAATGAGCCTTGGTGGTGCTTGGATGGGCGACCACCACGCATTAACGCGTTGCTATCGGCTGTTTCGGGGATACATCGTGAACAGCATGGGGCAAGTACACATTGCTCCTCCACCTCGACCAACCTGCACCTTTCAGAGTGGTAAAGTATGGCCAAATAACCCCCATGGTCCGCACGGCGTAGTGACAGCTCCTTACTCAGCAGGTAATTTGACAACAGGCCTGTAAATGTACGTTTACGATTCCAGTTTTAACAGTAAAGTTGTACTACACAGTATCGCGTTGACTTATTTACTAAACTGATTTTACGATGTTCAGTGATGCGCCTCAACTTCGCTTTGTGTTCACTAAAAGGGACACGGATTAATCATCACAGTCACAATGACCTGGAGGTGTTCCAGCCTCCACAGCTGACGACACTCGCCAAGTGATTTCTGGCCATGTGGCCTCCCCTCTGACGTGTGGTGGCTGTTGTGCCTTGTGGGGAGCGGTGGCGCAGTGATTAGCGCACTGCGCTAATAAGATTCCCGCTCACGGCCAATACCCGTGACGATTATCCGAACCGGTCCCGGGACTCGCCAAGGTCGACTCAGCCTCAAATGAGTAACTGGTGCGGTGTGTAGTAAACATCGCCACTGGGGAGACAAAGGCGGCCGGGCGTGGTGCTGGCCACCCACCACCACGTGTGCCGTGCCGGCCTTTATAGGTGCTGCTCGCTAACAGCACTTGCCCCTACAGTCTGTTACAGGCTACACGGGGGATCTTTGTCTGAGTGAGTATCTGAGTGTCTCTCAGTGTGTGTATGAACGAGTGTGTGTCTGAGTGGGTGAGCGAGTGTCTGAGTGGGTGAGCGAGTGAGTGTCTGAGTGAATGCGTGTCTGAGTGACACTGTTTGAGCGATACTGTGTCTGAGTGAGACTGTGAGTGTCTGAGTTGAGTGTCTGAGTGGGTGAGCGATTGTCTGAGTGAATGCGTGTCTGAGTGACACTGTGTTTGAGCGATACTGTGTCTGAGTAAGACTGTGAGTGTCTGAGTTGAGTGTCTGAGTGGGTGAGTGAGTGAATGCGTGTCTGAGTGGCACTGTGTTTGAGCGATACTGTGTCTGAGTGAGACTGTGAGTGTCTGAGTTGAGTGTCTGAGTGGGTGAGCGATTGTCTGAGTGAATGCGTGTCTGAGTGACACTGTGTTTGAGCGATACTGTGTCTGAGTAAGACTGTGAGTGTCTGAGTTGAGTGTCTGAGTGGGTGAGTGAGTGAATGCGTGTCTGAGTGGCACTGTGTTTGAGCGATACTGTGTCTGAGTGAGACTGTGAGTGTCTGAGTTGAGTGTCTGAGTGGGTGAGTGAGTGTCTGAGTAAATGCGTGTCTGAGTGACACTGTGTTTGAGCGATACTGTGTCTGAGTGAGACTGTGAGTGTCTGAGTTGTGTGTCTGAGTGGGTGAGTGAGTGTCTGAGTGAATGCGTGTCTGAGTGACACTGTGTTTGAGCGATACTGTGTCTGAGTGATTGAGCGAGTGAATGTCTGAGCGAATGTGTGTCTGAGCGAGACTGTCTGAGCGAGTGTCTTAGTGGGTGAGCGAGTGTGTGTCTGAGCGTGTGTCTAAGTGAGTGTCTGAGTGAGGCTGTGTCTGAGTGAGTGTCTGAGTGAGACTGCGAGTGTCTGAGTGTCTGAGTGAGATTGCGAGTGTCTGAGTGAGACTGCAAGTGTCTGAGTGAGTGTCTGAGTGAGACTGCGAGTGTCTGAGTGAGTGTCTGAGTGAGTGAATGAGTGAGTGTCTGTGTGAGACTGTGTCTGAGTGAGACTGCGAGTGTCTGAGTGAGTGAATGAGTGAGTGTCTGAGTGAGACTGTGTCTGAGTGAGACTGCGTCTGAGTGAGACTGCGAGTGTCTGAGTGAGGCTGTGTCTGAGTGAGACTGCGAGTGTCTGAGTGAGGCTGTGTCTGAGTGAGGTTGTGTCTGAGTGAGACTGTGAGTGTCTGAGTGAGTGAATGAGTGTCTGAGTGAGACTGCGAGTGTCTGAGTGAGGCTGTCTGAGTGAGGCTGTGTCTGAGTGTCTGAGTGAGTGAGTGAGTGTCTGAGTGAGACTGTGAGTGTCTGAGTGAGGCTGTGTCTGAGTGAGACTTGAGTGTCTGAGTGAGTGTCTGAGTGAGACTGCGAGTGTCTGAGTGAGTGAATGAGTGAGTGAGCGAGGCTGTGTCTGAGTGAGACTGTGAGTGTCTGAGTGAGGCTGTGTCTGAGTGAGACTGTGAGTGTCTGAGTGAGGCTGTGTCTGAGTGAGACTACGAGTGTCTGAGTGAGTGTCTGAGTGAGTGAATGAGTGTCTGCGCGAGTGTCTGAGTGAGGCTGTCTGAATGAGACTACGAGTGTCTGAGTGAGTGTCTGAGTGAGTGAATGAGTGTCTGAGTGAGATCGAGTGTCTGAGTGAGGCTCTGAGTGAGGCTGTGTCTGAGTGAGACTGTGAGTGTCTGAGTGAGGCTGTCTGAGTGAGACTGTGAGTGTCTGAGTGAGGCTGTGTCTGAGTGAGACTGTGAGTGTCTGAGTGAGTGTCTGAGTGAGACTGTGTCTGAGTGAGACTGTGTCTGAGTGAGACTGCGAGTGTCTGAGTGAGTGAATGAGTGAGTGTCTGAGTGAGACTGCGAGTGTCTGAGTGAGTGAATGAGTGAGGCTGTGTCTGAGCGAGACTGTGTCTGAGTGAGTGAATGAGTGTCTGAGTGAGACTGTGTCTGTGTGAGACTGCGAGTGTCTGAGTGAGGCTCTGAGTGAGTGAATGAGTGAGTGTCTGAGTGAGTGAATGAGTGTCTGAGTGAGACTGCGAGTGTCTGAGTGAGGCTCTGAGTGAGGCTCTGAGTGAGTGTCTGAGTGAGTGAATGAGTGTCTGAGTGAGACTGTGTCTGAGTGAGGCTGTGTCTGAGTGAGTGTCTGAGTGAGACTGTGTCTGAGTGAGACTGTGAGTGTCTGAGTGAGTGTCTGAATGAGACTGTGAGTGTCTGAGTGAGACTATGAGTGTCTGAGTGAGACTGTGAGTGTCTGAGTGAGACTGTGAGTGTCTGAGTGAGTGTCTGAGTGAGACTGTGAGTGTCTGAGTGAGTGTCTGAGTGAGACTGTGAGTGTCTGAGTGAGTGAGTGAATGAGTGTCTGAGTGAGACTGTGAGTGTCTGAGTGAGTGTCTGAGTGAGACTGTGAGTGTCTGAGTGAGTGAGTGAATGAGTGTCTGAGTGAGACTGCGAGTGTCTGAGTGAGACTGTGTCTGAGTGAGACTGTGAGTGTCTGAGTGAGACTGTGTCTGATTGAGACTGCGAGTGTCTGAGTGAGACTATGAGTGTCTGAGTGAGACTATGAATGTCTGAGTGAGACTATGAGTGTCTGAGTGTCTGAGTGAGACTGTGAGTGTCTGAGTGAGTGTCTGAGTGAGACTGTGAGTGTCTGAGTGAGACTATGAGTGTCTGAGTGAGTGTCTGAGTGAGACTGTGAGTGTCTGAGTGAGACTGTGTCTGATTGAGACTGCGAGTGTCTGAGTGAGACTATGAGTGTCTGAGTGAGACTATGAATGTCTGAGTGAGACTATGAGTGTCTGAGTGTCTGAGTCAGACTGTGAGTGTCTGAGTGAGTGTCTGAGTGAGACTGTGAGTGTCTGAGTGAGACTATGAGTGTCTGAGTGAGTGTCTGAGTGAGACTGTGAGTGTCTGAGTGAGTGTCTGAGTGAGACTATGAGTGTCTGAGTGAGACTATGAGTGTCTGAGTGAGACTGTCAGTGTCTGAGTGAGACTGTGTCTGAGTGAGACTGTGTCTGAGTGGGACTGTGAGTGTCTGAGTGAGACTGCGAGTGTCTGAGTGAGACTGCGAGTGTCTGAGTGAGACTGAGTGATTGAGCGAGCGAGCACTCTGACGTCACTTCTCGTCCACAGAGGCTGTTTACCTCTTGCCTTATTACGTCACCGCCGCACCAGTTCTGCTTTCATTTTGCGCGCCCGAGGGGGGGGGGGGCTCGAGTGCGGGGGGGGGCGAGTGCGGGGGGGGTGCGAGTGCGGGGAGGGGGGCGCGAGTGCGGGGAGGGGGGCGCGGGTGCGGGGGGGGGGCGAGTGCGGGGGGGGGCGAGTGCGGGGGGGGGGCGAGTGCGGGGGGGGGGCGAGTACGAGGGGGGGGGGGGCAAGGGCGGGGAAGCCGAGGGCTGGGGGCCGAGGGGTGGGGGCGAGACGGGCTGACTCAATCGCTGCCTCGCGTTTCACGATGTGGCCAACGAGAGAGAGCGAGGCGAGTGCGTGGTGGTGGTGGTGGTGATGATGTTACACACTCCCTCCTCGCTCCTCTCTTCCTCTATATCTCACTCGTTACACAGGAGGTTGCAGCTCAGCCTCGCCGTGTGCGTGGTGGGGATGGGAGCCGCAGCTCATGTTGTTTGTTGATTTTAAGTCACGAAGTTAAGAGACTTCGTCGTTTTGTGGTAAACGGCGTTCTTTTTTTGTGTGTGTGTTTCGATAACGCTGTGCAACCGGAGTGCAATACCTCGCAAACGTCACTTGTCTTAACTTATTCAGAAAACCTCGACGTTCGGAGTAGCATTTAAGTTAAAAACGAAAGTCTCATGAAATAGAAACGTAGGATACAAAATATAAGGTAGTAACGGTGTAAGTCTATGTGCCACGTGCCTTTGTGTGGTCCATAGAGTTTGGAACTCGCTCCTGTCGCGGACGCAATTAATGCGCAATTAAAATTAGGGGCTGATGCAAGGGCCGCGTTTGACCTGCCGGGGGTCGTGAAGGTCAACTCGACGATTACTTCACCACCGTTGGGTCAGTGTGTGCGCGTGTGTGTGTGTTTGGTAGCTCAGACGTGGCGTGGCGAAACCACCAAGCCAGCCGCAGATTGACAAAGCTTTTGCGAGGGGGGCGGGGAGGAGAGCTGTTTACAAAGAGGCGCTCGCTCGGCCTGGCGGTCAGAGTGTCCCCCGGGCATCACACGTAGCACATCGACACGGGGACCGCGCCGCATTTCCTTCGGCGACATTCACTGCGACCCGATGGAAGGGACTCGCCGTCTCCAGGAGGCCCGGCCGACTTCCCTGCTCGGCAAGAGGGCCCGGCCAAGCTGCGGCGGCGGCGGCGGCGGTGGTGGTGGCGGGGCCCTCCACCAGACCCCTCGGCACCACCCGGACCGCGAGGGCCTCCCGCCGGCTTTGGCCGCCGTGGAGCCGCGTAGCCACTGCCCGGCCAGGGTCGGCGAGTACCTGCTGGTGGCCCCGCTCGACGTCGGAGGCTACAGGGCGGTGCACGAGGCCACGGGAAAGGAATTCATCTGCAAGGTGGGTTGTGGGTTTGAGAGAGGAGAGACGCATGAGTGGTGGTGGATGGGAGCCACAGACACCCGGTTCAAGCCTCTACTGTGGTTGAGACGTGGCTGGGTAGCTTTAAAGGACACCCATTGGGTTTTTTAATATATAATCAAAGACATGTGTAAAAAAGCTGAGTTCAAGTGCTGAGCCCGGGTGGATTTCGCAAATCAGATTGCTGTCGGGACGACGTTTCAGTCCGAGTGCGTTTTGGTGAAAATCGAACAATTATTTAGGTCATGAGCTGATTTCACGTATTTTAAATGGTATGCACTGACTCTTTATCCGGTTATAGATGATATCTCGTGTTCTTTTCAACTTCAATTCTTGACTTCCTTTACAATGCAACGATGATTTGTGATTCAGTGCCGGGCGGGTAAGGGAGTTTCCACGTTGATTATTGAAACCAGCAATAAAATATTTAACCTTGATGGGCACGATCTGTTTCGATGCCTGGAGACTGTTGTGCTGAACGGCTTGAAAAAAAATACGTTTTAAATAATCCATTAAATAGACACCACCATCATTAGCTTTATTTTATTCACTGGTGGATGAATACCTCCCCCCCGAGCTCTTGTTAGCTCTCAACAACCTCGTGATGCAACAATACTGCAACACGTACGTCTGCAAATATTTGGTGGTGCTGCTGATGCTGCGTTGGTAGTGGGTGTCTCACTCAGCACGTCGCACAACAACACACTCCAAACACATTCGTCAATAGCACTGCCATACAAAGGAAAACAGATACATAATAGGCAACGTTTCGGTCAATGCCTCTTAAAGCAAATCGATGTAATACATTTGACTCTTGCATACAAGCTGATTTAATCGCTTCGTATTTGAGACGGGGAAGGGGTGGGGGGTCGTTTCGGGCGTGTTGATTTGGCTCCACTCCCACGTTAATATGGACCACCGGCTATCACCAATATTTCCTGCCCCTCGAAGTGTCCTGCCCAAGCCCAATTACTTTCTTATCGGCCATGGACTTGTGTAACGTTTGTAACTTGTGTATGTTATCTGATCCATTGTGTTCCTCCTCTTGAGACGAACGTGCATATTTTGCCACCAAAAAAATCCGTGGCACAAAAATATACACGTGAATTATACTGTTAAGGAAGCAATAATTACCAGTCTTTTGTTACTTTTTAACTCAAGTAAAAAATATTGGAAGTTTTGTAGGAATTTTTATACCTTGCAAATACATTGCTTTATTCTCTGAAATAACCCTGCGCATTCTTAGTATTGAAGTAATTATGGGAAAGAATAACCATAAGTGCAGTACTGTACAGAACTTTATTCATATGTCTGTGGTTATACGAAAACATGAGACTCAGATGGTACAAGTGGACACGATAATGTAAAACTATGGACGCCCTCACCAACCCAGAATATTGCAACAGGGTTACGCGACTCACGGAATGGGTGAGTGAACACACGGGGACAGTTTTGTAAAGCGAAACAACAAAGTGTCAAGCGCAAGTCAGCGTTGCACTGCAGATTGCGTACTCGACGTAGCCCACCACAATGTGGTCGGGTTTTTCTCGAACAGAAACTATAGTATGATATTACACTTGCATACATTTTCACCCTGTGAGGAGAGGGGGTAGGCATTTGACAGCGGGTAGTTAGGTAGGCGGAGTGCAGAGTTTTGTCAGGATCTAATTGATTCAGCCGAGACAATATATTTACACGAGTGCGTGTTTATAATGTTGCGTCGATTGGTGGTATACACGATAGAATTATTTGGAAGAGGGGTGATCGTTATATCCTTCAACCAGAAATACCCTTGACTCAAGACTCATTTTCAAGTCTCACTTGAGTTATTTAGCTAGTTATTAATTTGATATTATTCATGACAATCATTTAAATGGTAGTGAAAATGAAAATAAGTTAGTAAGGGTTTTTTTATTTATAAGCAACACCACTCAGTCTCAAGTTTATTATCCAAGAGACGCAATGTTTTACTACTTACTGTTTTATTGATGATGATAATAACAAGTGATAGTGATGGCGAGAATTGATAGTGCAAATCAGCGATCAATTAAGTGCTTTTGAGGCATGGATTGGTAGATCTCATCGATATATCCTCAATTCACTACCTTCCTGAAAGAGTTTTAAAACTCATTGAAGCTTTCGTTGATACGTGCTTGACATCATTATTATTATCATCAAAATGATGATCATGACATTGCTGGTGATCGTGACAATAATGACGATAGTAATGGTGATGTTGATGACATTGATGGTGATCACAAAAATGGTGATCGTGAAAACAATAACAATCATGGTGATGATCGTGACTGTTGAGATGATCGTGATCATAATAACAGTGATGGCGATGATTGTGCCAATGGAGGTGATCGCGACAACAGTAACACCAATGACGATGACACACTCCCCGTCGCCTGTGTCGCGCGCAGGTGGTGGAGGCGGCCCGCTGGCCGACCCTGCTGGAGGCGTACCGCCGCGTGTGCCCGCACGAGCTTGTATCCTCGCCCGTGGAGCTGCTCGTGGGCTCACGGCACACGTACGCGCTGCACGCCCACGCGCACAGCGACGCGCACGCGCTGGTACGGGCGCGGGGCCGCCTGCCGGAGCCCGAGGCGGCGCGACTCTTCCGCCACATGGCGGAGGCGGTGGCGCGGTGTCACGAGCGGGGCCTGGTGCTCCGCGACCTCAAGCTGCGTCGCTTCGTCTTCAGGGACCCCGAAAGGTGAGTGTGTGTGTGTGTGCGCGCACACACACAGTCACGCCTGCGTAGATGCAGCAGGGCAGGTGGCACGGCTGGATTTACTATGGGGTACATTGGGGGTTTCAAGTTAGGTTTGTTTAACCAGGTGTGGAACTCTCTAGGGAGACAGGAAAGTTTCTCATTTGCAAAGGTTACCTGGGTCACCGATATGACAAGAGCAACAATGCCAAGACAAATACAAGAATGAAAGGAATATAAATCGGAGCAAAAACAACCAAATAGAAATTATAATTTAAATGCTTCAAATCTGCTCCCAATTAGTGAAATAGACTCAATTAATGTTGCTATTTAAGCAGTACATTTTCCTTTAAATGCTTGGAGATATGTGGTCTACCAACGAACCAGACAATATCTAGGATACCAAATATGATGATGGTGGTGAATACATGCGAGTTAATGTTTACAGCAATTTGCGTTTTTTTCTGTTCTCGTTGTTACAATACCTAGGGAGGATGGGACCATATCATGTGTGCTCATGCCATGTGTTGTGAGTCATGTGTATAAGGGTCAAAGTTTCTTGGCTTTTGGAAAGCGAGTTGGAGTGAGGGCAGTTTGCCTGGCAGGCTGTCTTAACAGTGCATGCCAAAGCCAGCATGAGGGGGGGAGGTCCTGGGGTGGGTCCTGGGGTGGGTCCTGTCCCACTATATATCCATTTGGCCCACCAAAATTATTTCCCTTAGCAGTATATTACTGTTCTGGTTGTCCTCCCGGACAACTGCGCTATGCTCCCCCCAATCCTCGATGAGCTGGAGCTGGGCCCGGTACGTGAGGGGGCACAGGGCTGGATATAGTGCAACTCTTCTGGCCCTTTACCCCGTATGCTTCTTGCTAAGCTCAATAATGTTGGTAATTTCTGCCTTCGACTAAACACCTTTGATCGGAGACAAAGTGCGAAAATTACAGCTTTAGCTGTAATTTGACACGTTCACTTACATACATTCATAGCCTAGAGGCACTACGTTACGCACACACCCTTGTTTTCAGTTTGAAATAATACCTTGAAATTATTAAAACATTAAAATAAAACGTGAACTCACGCGCTCATTTGCAAACATGACTCATTACTTGAACTCGTGCTTGTTATTGATCACAGAAACTTGGGGGAAATGTTGAAGTCAACGCGTAATGGGTTAAAACCCCTAAAAAAGTTCCGGACAGTCTTAAAGTTGTCCAAACCCATTTTTAATACTCTGTATTTGTTTTGAGTAAACTGTAGTGTAAAGTTGAGCTTCTATAAGGGCTTTATCCTATTAAAACTAGGCAAAGTGATCAGAGGATTGACCAAACTTTGACAATACAAACCAGAGCAAAGAAGACTTATTTGCAAATATTCAAACGCTTACTGCATTGACTACTACCCATCGATTTCCGCACTGCTATTTCAGTACTTTCAAAGACAAACCCACATTGGAAACCATTACATATTAAACACACATTTATGATTTTCCATAACTTTTTTCTATAACAGTGGAGCATTTGTAGAATAATGAAAGTTGTAATGATCCATGTCCACGCTGCAGGACGCAGCTGGTGCTGGACGGGCTGGAGGACGCGCTGCTGCTGCAGGGCATGGACGACTCTCTGACCGACCGTCGCGCGTGCCCGGCTTACGTGAGCCCCGAGTTACTGCGCTCGTCGCCATCCGCATCCGCCGGCGCTCCACGGCCCGTGCCGTACTCCGGACGTGCGGCTGACGTGTGGGGGCTGGGTGTCGCGCTGTATGCCATGCTCGTGGGCCGCTACCCATTCCATGATCCCGCACCCTCGGCCCTCTTCCGCAAGATCCGCCACGGCCGCTACGCGCTACCCGAGTGGCTCTCGCCGGCGGCACGGTGCCTCATCGGGGGCCTGCTGCGACACGAGCCGTCTGAGAGGGCCACAGCGTGGGATGCCCTCCAGCACCCGTGGCTAAGAGTTGGCGACACAGGGTCAGCCACGGCCACCGCCACAAATTCCAGAACTATGCCCGTGAACCCAAGTGTGAATGCAGGCTGTGTGTGGTCAAGGAATGACGACCAGACGGTGCCTGATGTGGAGGTTGAAGAGGCTGGCGACTTGTTCTTTAGCTAAATTCATGGAATGTTTATTTATCCAGCAAAGCCCGAGTCTCAGGATACTTGACAGGAAAGTCCTGGATTGTGATGTGTGGCCAGTTCTAGACTGGGTACTGTTACCTGTGGGATTAAACCAAAGTACCTTGATAAAACCCACATGCATGACACTCAGTCCGTATATAAACGTCGGAAACTCATTTGTGGACTGCCATTTAGCACGCTTGGATGGATGTCTTGCACACAAGTCTGCATGAATCTCCAAGCTGCCAACTTGTATCATCGTGCTGTGTGTGCATATGCAGTATACGATACGTGATGAGCAGTGGTGTAATATGACTTGGCATCCGGAGGCACTAAGCATTAAGCACTGTCTTCAAAACCTCTGGAATTGACAGTCAAACCAAGTGCGCTCAAGGAGGCAGACACCATCCCATTTCGCATTAAATATAGAACGCTGCTCCACCCTCCCATGGAGGGTTCATTGCACAGCAATATTACGCAAACTTGCAGAATGTGATATGGTGTCTGAAACGGACCATGGTTGTAACAGTTCCGAGGGTGAGGTTGTTTTTACTTGTTTTTATAGCAGCAGGTTTTGGAAGAGGCAATATTACGATGTGCCCATGTTTTAAATGCATGTGTACCTGCTTTTTATCGCCATGTTATTTGCTTTATCAACGTATGTATGTTGAAATTCTTTCGCACTGTGCGTAGCCAAATGTGCTAATCGGAGGTACGCAGCCAACCGTGGTGCACTTGACATATACGTTTTTAACGGTTAAGAGATTGGTTTTTAAATTCTTTATAAAATGTAAACTCAAATGGTGCAAGCAGTGTTGTTTACTACTTTGAATGGATTGTTTTATCCATTTTGCATTCATGTACAGGAATTGATTGTGTTTTATAATAAAACACGTTGACTCAAATTACTCGGTGGTATTGATGTGTAAAGTGAACTCAACATGCGCTGGAAGGCCCGTACATTTGTCTACTTAGTAACACATCCACGTTAAATAGGGTTGTTGCGTGATGGCTGTGGTATATCAGCTCTTCTTAAGTATGAGAAGCATAAGAGTTAAAACGGGGTGGACCGGTAGTGCAATGGATAGCGCACTGCAGTGAACCGGGAGATGTGAGTTGAGTTCTGAACTGATCCTGGGCATCTCCTTCACCAACCCACACTGACCAGCATGGTCAAGTATGGTCAAACAACTGCTTTGACTAATATGACAAGGGGACGCTTTCATTGTCCCAACGGGCTTTACATTCACTATGTAACACGATTTTTGTTCCTGGGTAGTAAGTGTTATTTTCTAATTGCTTATGCCTCAAAAGTATAGAAACTGGCTTTTATTCCACACAAACTTTGCTTTTGTGACCAGGACTTTACGTGAAGGAATTACACAAATTCGCCCGTTTTCTCATTGAAAATAGGTCATTTTTTATAATATCACTGTCCTGATCACAAAAGCAAAGTTTGTGGGGAATAATAGCCATTTTCTGTACTTTTGAGGCATAAGCAATTAGGAAATAACACTTACTACCCAGGAACAAAAAATATATGTTGTTACACAATGAATTATTAACAGTTAAAAGCTATACATGATGTGTATTTCCATACCATGAAATGATTAAGCAAATATTGCGCACCGTAAATATCACATTGCACATTGTTAAATTACAGGCGGTATGACATTTCATATCCTGATGAATGTAAGAATACATTTATGAGTGTGAAATCCATTTACACATTAAATATATTTGTTCACTGGAAGGCCTTTATTTATGAAGGTCAAAGTGCAATAATAAACATTTTCTCTTTAGCAACGGAGACCAGTAAAAATAACTGCGTAAATTGTGTATTTTGTACTCAATTTTATTCAAATTATCGTATAATGCAACACGTCCATGTGGTATGTCTATGTGGTATGCGTACAGCTAGCAGTGCACCACCCTGTGTCAGAATAGACCTAGAAAATGTCAGCTATTACAGGTCACCGTGATAACAACACAACAACAACCGCCATTAACTTTAAAGTTGCGGTGATGTCACCATAGCACTTGTGCCAGGATAGATGTACATTGAGACCACGTGAAGTGGCTCCTGTATTCACGCCCAGTATACCATACCATTTATATAAACTGAAAAGTTGTCATCGCATGTCAGTCAAATAAAAATAGAAATCCTCAAAATAAGAATGCATGTATTTATAATTAAGTGAAAATACAAATTAATTAATATTTGTGTTGTTATTTGTTTACCAGGCTTAAACCATTAAGTCGCTTCACTTGAGGACTCACTTTAATCACAGGTGGGTACCCAGATTTAAACCAAAGATTTCATCTGTGCCAGCTCAGTGCTAGCAACCCAGCCACCCAGCCAATTAGTAATGTCTGTAACGTTTATTGCATGGTCTTTTAAACTGTAGCCGTTTGGGCAACAGCACTGGCAAATACATTAATTTATATTGTGATTATGTTATACGGCAGACGGCAAGATCTGGAAATTTAATCAAATATTTTTTTCTCCCCTAAAAAATACCGAAATACTGTAGACATTTAACCTACTAGTCCAGGCAAAAAGAAGTGTTATTTTACCAGGTAAGGCCCAATGAGCTATATAGCTCTTTTTCAGAAGCGACCTGGTCACAAATGATAGCTCAACGAAGTGGAAATTTAAAGAAGCCAAATACTCTAAAAACATGTTTTTAAAAGTGGACGGTTTTGAACCTGGTGAAAAATCCACGTGACCACTAGGAGAGACATGAAAACTCCAAATATACAAGCTTCAGGGTCGGGATCGAACCCATGACCTGTATACTATGCGAGGTAGTCAACGTGGTGACCATGAACCCAATAGGAACCAGGTTAACTGGGCTAGGCTTCTAGACTGAAGAGCAGTCATGTAGGGCAAGCCTCAATTTTGAGCTCCACACTGTCTGGACAGAAGCCCCAATCCGTGTAATTAGACCCACTTTTGAGACAATCAATTAGGGGTTTGTCATTGTGGGTCAGCTTTACGCGCGCTGCATGTCCTGTTCTCGAGACCTGACCCCATTTCTCTGCGCTTCCCAAGGATGGTGATTTGCTTTGTGGTCAAACTGCAGATCCCCATTAGCATGGTGGCTTTTAGTTTACATCATTAGACCTCTTTTGCCAGTACCAAAATATAATAATAAGGTTTTTCCCCTTTTTTTATGTACTCACCCCGAGCCCTCATTACTTTGATAGTGCATTGTCTTTGAGCTGTACGCCTTTTGGCGTCATCTGGTCGAGCACCAATTGGGTCGAGGCTTAAAAGAAAGCCGTCCCTTGGTGTGGACCAGTTTCAAGGACAATGCATATATTATCATAGTATGTTTTTTGTTTGCATTTTGACTGCAGGTATTATGGTTAATGCAGACATGAATCCTTGTAAAAAGGTTTCAGTTTTCTTGCTATAAAAAAGGGGAAAAACCTTATTATATTAGGCTTTTAATCTACCCATCTGCCCTGTGTGAAGTTTAATGATTGGAATCTAATCTCCAGACGGACCACTGCCGAAATGTTGACTTTGAATATGTATAATTTGGTAGTGAAATATAAAAACATGACTACTTTTAATGTTAAATACTGCCTGAAAATTGAATATTTTTTAAGATGTTTCATGAAATTGCATTATTTGATAAGTAGAGAAAATTAGGCAGTCTTCTTTATTTTATATGTGAGCTGCAATTGTATATTGCAGTTGTACAACATAACCAGATATATGTAGTGGTTGATTTCACTCGGACAACTTTTGTCTTTCTTCCAACACCACTTTATTTACAGTTCTCCACATGTCCTCAATGCTCCACAGTTCCCTTGTTGTCACGGCTCGCTCGCCGTGCATCACTCGACTCGCTCGCCGCCTTTGTCTCTCCAATCTCCACTTCTCCGTCAGCTCCGATGTCTCTGTGCTCTCTCCACTGCTGGCTGCTTTATCTCTGCTGCCCGCTCTCCGCTATCACTGTGCTCTCTCCACTGCTAACTGCTTCGTCTCTGCTCTCCGCTATCACTGTGCTCTCTCCACTGCTGGCTGCTTCATCTCCGCTCTCCGCTATCACTGTGCTCTCTCCACTGCTAACTGCTACGTCTCTGCTCTTCGCTCTCCGCTATCACTGTGCTCTCTCCACTGCTAACTGCTTCGTCTCCGCTCTCCGCTATCACTGTGCTCTCTCCACTGCTAACTGCTTCGTCTCTGCTCTTCGCTCTCCGCTATCACTGTGCTCTCTCCACTGCTAACTGCTTCGTCTCTGCTCTCCGCTATCACTGTGCTCTCTCCACTGCTAACTGCTTCGTCTCCGCTCTCCGCTATCACTGTGCTCTCTCCACTGCTAACTGCTTCGTCTCTGCTCTCCGCTATCACTGTTCTCTCTCCACTGCTAACTGCTTCGTCTCTTCAGCTGCTCCACGTCTTGCCTCGTCCAGCCCCCGACTCCAACTCCCCGTTTCTCCTCACGTCTCCCCAATTTATCCCCGCTCTCATTACACCCCAATTAATTAACCCGCGTCCCAACGACGCTCCGCGTGCCCGTGCGCCTGTTACCTCGCCAGACTTCAAGACGCCACTCAGCCCTGACAACACCAGCCAATCACTGCCGTCCCTGGCTCCCCCGGCTTAATTGGCCCAATCGTTACCTCATCGTCCCAATATGACCCCCTACTGTCCTGCTCCCGCGCAAACTCACCAATTACCCCCATGCGCCTATTTATTCCACTACATCACCCCCCCCCCCCCCCCCCCCCCCGATGAAAAAATCTAGCCGTCCCGGCTACGACCATACTTCGACTTCCGGGTAGTGGAGCACAACAAGGACATAACAATAACAACAATGCATCACAGAACTTTGTACAACAACCATAAGAGATGTAGAGTCAACGGAAGGTTCTTCCTTGAGAGCGAGTTCCAGCTGCCGGCCCATTTCCCCTGAACGGGACACTGTGGGGCAAGCGCGGGGAATGCTCCCCTGTTAATTCAGGGCTGCGTCCGGTCCTCGACGCACGCCCATCCCTGTCACAGCGACCATCCGCCGGCGGGACCGCCCATCGCCCCTGTGCGTTCCGGACAGTATCCCGAGGTTGCGGCCGGTCAGCCGGCTTCCGGCCAGTAAATCTGCCAGAACCCCCTCTCCGAGTCAATAGGGATGGTCCTGCAGGCACACGGGAGGCAGACTTCTTAGACGCGTTCACATGTGACCGCGTCACAGGTTCGTCGGATACATCCAATACAGGCCGCTCTGGGATGGGAGATGACGCGTCATAGGGCGATACAAATTACTTAAGGCGCGATGGATGAACATACCATATTTGACGACCAAACCGAATCCGTACATTCTGGTCCCGGAGCCCTGACAACAACACCAGCCAATCACAGCCGTCCCTGGCTCTCCCAGCTTAATTGGCCCAATCGTTACCTCATCGTCCCAATATGACCCCCTACTGTCCTGCTCCCGCGCAAACTCACCAATTACCCCCATGCGCCTATTTATTCTACTACATCTACAAAAGCGCATGAGGACACGTCGAGCAATAGTAGTGACTTTTCTCGTGAACACTGGATGTCATCATCATTCACCATGATCTGCTGGATCAATGCGTTCCCACACTAACCCCATTTCTCATCGTGTGATGATGCTACAATCCTGTCCTTTCTGAGCTCATTGTTCCGTTAGAAATAAATATCGATTCGTGCATATTGCCTGCTATGACATGGATAAAAAAAATAAAGAAAATGGAACAAAAACGGAAGTACATAAAGAAGCGTGGGAAAGAAATGTGCTGAGAATTACTACGATGAAAAGAAGAACACATGGGTCAGTAGAAAAATGCATATTCGAGACATCATATTGACTGTTAATTTCAATATATAAAATTGGGCTTTGGTAGAACACATCCCTCGAAGGGATGAAGATCAATTAATCCGATTGGGGGTGGAATGGCAGCCAAAGTAAGAAGCAAACTGGACAGGACGACTGTGTGATGTGGTGATGGTTAAACTAACAACATTGAAATGCTAAGCATAAGGCAAGATAAGGTCTTTCGGTGTCATACAAGGGGAACCGAATTCCATGCACCACCTTCCCATGCACACAAGCAGCTCAGCGAGGGGGGGGGGGAAACCCCTACCAGTCGAAATCACATTCGCGTCTAATATTGTGGCGCTATCGTGCTCAGCCCCAAGCATTAACGACCGCCGCCGGCAGACGACCCTTCAGATCATTTTGCAAGACTAAAGCGGCGTGGTGCCGGCGCTCGTCAAGTCAAGCCCCAACTGTGTAGCGACATGTGTTAGATTAGGGATAACAAGCGAGTGCGGGATTAGCTACAGGGCGCGACAGCCGCATTGAAATCCGCAAGTAGTGGTCCCCCGCCCCGCACCACCAGACAATCTCCATCACCCTCCCCTGCACGTGCAGTCACCATCACGCAGCAGGGCTGGCCCCAGGTGTGCTGTATCACCCGTACATGATCCAATTTCACTGCAATTGTGAAGCTAAATATGACCCTGCCTGCATGACGAGATGTTAACTACCTCGCCTGGTATACAGGAGATCGTGGGTTCGATCCCGACCCTGACGCCTGCTGCTGCTGTATATTTGGAGTTTGCGGTGTCTCTCTCTCTCTCATCATCACGGTGGCTAGGAGATGTTAACTACCTCGCCTGGTATACAGTAGGTCGTGGGTTCGACCCTGACGCCTGCTGCTGTATATTTGGAGTTTGCGGTGTCTTTCTCTCTCATCATCATCACGGTGGCTAGGAGATGTTAACTACCTCGCCTGGTATACAGGAGGTCGTGGGTTCGACCCTGCCGCCTGCTGCTGCTGTATATTTGGAGTTTGCGTCTCTCTCTCGCACCATGGTCGAATGGACTTTTCTCGGGGTCCTCTGGTTTTCCCTCCACATTTAGAATCAACGTGCGTTTCGAGTATATGGCTGCTATAAATTTACACGCGATAAGCCACTTCCTTCAGCTATAATTTGTGGCCAGGTCGCTTCTGAAAAAAAGCTAGATAGCTCAGTGGGCCTTACCTGGTAAAATAAAAAAATAGTTTAGTTTATGTACAGATCTTCCCATTCATTACCTGCTTCAATCTGCTCGTGAAACACAAGTTTCATGAACAGATCCAATATACTGGTTGGCAGAATTCTCACCCAGATCCGTAAACAAGACCACTTCACACCACTATTCCAATCCCATTGAATTCCGCCTAATAAAAACCTGGATGACTCATCTTCGTCAAGATCCTCAATAGCCTAGCCTCTGCCCACTTCTCCAGACTGCTCCATGCAGCAGCGTCCATACCCTCATGTAGCCTCCTGCTATCCACATCTCTCCTGCCCCTTTGGTCCTGTTATGCCGTTCTTTTTCCACGCTTATCCCCTTATTTCCCATTCTTTCTCTTCTTCAATTTCTCGTTCCTCTTTCTTTTTCCCAAACATTATCTCTTTGATACTCTCTGGCTCTTTCGGTAAAGTCACGTAGGTAAAGAAATTATTTTATATTTTCTTTACCTACGTGACTGCAAGGATCCATACTCTTTGGTTCTTTCGGTAAAGTGTTAAGATGTTAAAACACCAAACTGAAACCTTTTGCAAGGAATCATGTCTGCATTAACCACAATACTTGTGGTATATATACATGTCAGAGCATGTTTTTTGTTTGTATTTACACAAGTACGTAGCTGTGGTTAATGCAGACATGACTCCTTGCAAAAGGTTTCAGTTTGGTGTTTTAACATCTTAACACAGCTGTTTTGTGGCCAGAATAAGTAATATTAAAAAAACTTTTTTTTTAAACACGCTTATATGAAATGTACTAGTAATGGCAAAACTCCACGACTCCAGGAAGTGGCCCCGAAGCTTGCCACAACGTAAGGGGACCCGTGGTGATTTACAGCCAACGTGAGTTGACCCTGCACAATTAGACCCAAGCCGAAACATAACATATAACAAATAATGTTTAAAAATATATATATTTTTATGATACAATATAGTATCGTCATCAGTATGACATAAGTATACCAAGTTTGCAGTCGATACCACATTGGGAAGTGGGTTAAAATTGAGTTACAAGATTTGAGGATACAACAACAACAACAGACAGAGTAAGTTAAAAGAAAGCGTGTAAAAACGGGGAAAACCATATTCTTAAACCACTTGCTTACTTATCAAATTCAACGGAGAGGAAGAAGCCAAGTTGTTTAAACAGTTGAGTCACCGACCATTGTGATAAAATACACAGGCCACGTAATTTGAATTGCACTGCATCAGTGGTGCCAACTTCACGGTCAGCCGAAGTCAGCGGTGGTCGCCGATGTCGCAACACATGCCCACGCGCAGGCGATTCGTACTGGGTGGGAACAGGCACAGATTATCCTGACGTGTCGTGTAATTACAGAGCGCGCTACGCAGATTAAGAAGTAGCGGTTATTTTACCCCCGGAGTGCCTGCATGAAACGGGAGAGTTTTTGGTTCTATTCGCTAAAGTCACGTAGGTAAAAAAATAAAACAACAAAAATCACGACGTTTCGGCCACAACCACAAGTGGCCTTCATCAGGTGAAGGGACCAGACTGTCTCGAGGACAGCGCTGGAGTGAACACAGCCAAGCTCAGACCGCGACCTTTAAGCTGTGTGAGAGAAATTAAGGTGCCTTGACAAAGGAATTAGCATAAAAAATTACATTCAATTGGCGGACTTAGCATGGTGAACGGTGTAGAGTTCGACAATTGAATGCTAATTTTTATGCTAATTCCTTTGTCAAGGCACCTTAATTCCTCTCACACAAGCTTAAAGGTCGCGATCTGAGCTTGACTGTGTTCACTCCAGCGCTGTCCTTGAGACAGTCTGGTCCCTTCACCTGATGAAGGCCACTTGTGTTGTGGCCGAAACGTCGTGATTTTTGTTGTTTTATTTTTTTACCTACGTGACTTTACCGAATAGAACCAAAGAGTATGGATCCTTGCAGTCACGAAAGCTTCGAATCTAGAACGGGAGAGTTTTGTTTGTATGCCTGTCGTGTGCACATGTTGGTGGGTGGGGGCGGGGAGTGTTAAAGTGGTCTCTGTTTATGAGAGCCCAGGCGACGTGAGGACGTCACCATCATTTAGGTGTGAATTATGTCGTGGGGTTTTTCTGTTGTGTGATGTGGTTTGCAACCCCACACTTTTATCACAGTGGCCTGGGGTTGACTCCTGATCATAACTCAGACACAAGTGCAAATTGATACAACGGAACCAGGTCAAATCGACTCAGTCTAAACTAAATATAACATGAGGGATCCTTTAGCACAGGGGTGGGGAAACTTTTTTCTGCCAAGGGCCATTTGGATATTTATAACATCATTCGCGGGCCATATAAAATTATCAACTTAAAAATAAGCCCATTATATTTGGTCAAACATTTAATTAACTCACCCCTAATGTGATGGCTGGAACTGCATCTCTTTGGTGAGGCGTGTGATGATGTTAGCTGGTATTGACGATGTTAGCTGGTATTGACGATGTTAGCTGGTATTGACGATGTTAGCTGGTGTTGATGATGTTAGCTGGTATTGACGATGTTAGCTGGTGTTGATAATGTTAGCTGGTATTGATGATGTTAGCTGGTATTGACGATGTTAGCTGGTGTTGACGATGTTAGCTGGTATTGATGATGTTAGCTGGTGTTGATGATGTTAGCTGGTATTGATGATGTTAGCTGGTGTTGACGATGTTAGCTGGTATTGATGATGTTAGCTGGTGTTGATGATGTTAGCTAGTATTGACGATGTTAGCTGGTATTGATGATGTTAGCTGGCATTGATGATGTTAGCTGATATTGACGATGTTAGCTGGTATTGATGATGTTAGCTGGTATTGACGATGTTAGCTGGTATTGACGATGTTAGCTGGTATTGATGATGTTAGCTGGTATTGATGATGTTAGCTGGTGTTGATAATGTTAGCTGGTATTGATGATGTTAGCTGGTGTTGATGATGTTAGCTGGTATTGACGATGTTAGCTGGTATTGACGATGTTAGCTGGTGTTGATGATGTTAGCTGGTATTGACGATGTTAGCTGGTGTTGATGATGTTATCTGGTGTTGATGATGTTAGCTGGTATTGACGATGTTAGCTGGTATTGACGATGTTAGCTGGTATTGATGATGTTATCTGGTGTTGATGATGTTAGCTGGTATTGACGATGTTAGCTGGTATTGATGTTAGCTGGTATTGATGATGTTATCTGGTGTTGATGATGTTAGCTGGTATTGATGATGTTAGCTGGTATTGATGTTAGCTGGTATTGATGATGTTATCTGGTGTTGATGATGTTAGCTGGTATTGACGATGTTAGCTGGTATTGATGTTAGCTGGTATTGATGATGTTAGCTGGTGTTGATGATGTTAGCTGGTATTGATGATGTTAGCTGGTGTTGATGATGTTAGCTGGTATTGACGATGTTAGCTGGTATTGACGATGCTAGCTGTTATTGATGATGTTAGCTGGTATTGATGATGTTAGCTGGCATTGATGATGTTAGCTGATATTGACGATGTTAGCTGGTATTGATGATGTTAGCTGGTATTGACGATGTTAGCTGGTATTGACGATGTTAGCTGGTATTGATGATGTTAGCTGGTATTGATGATGTTAGCTGGTGTTGATGATGTTAGCTGGTATTGATGATGTTAGCTGGTGTTGATGATGTTAGCTGGTATTGACGATGTTAGCTGGTATTGACGATGTTAGCTGGTGTTGATGATGTTAGCTGGTATTGACGATGTTAGCTGGTGTTGATGATGTTATCTGGTGTTGATGATGTTAGCTGGTATTGACGATGTTAGCTGGTATTGACGATGTTAGCTGGTATTGATGATGTTATCTGGTGTTGATGATGTTAGCTGGTATTGACGATGTTAGCTGGTATTGATGTTAGCTGGTATTGATGATGTTATCTGGTGTTGATGATGTTAGCTGGTATTGATGATGTTAGCTGGTATTGATGTTAGCTGGTATTGATGATGTTATCTGGTGTTGATGATGTTAGCTGGTATTGACGATGTTAGCTGGTATTGATGTTAGCTGGTATTGATGATGTTAGCTGGTGTTGATGATGTTAGCTGGTATTGATGATGTTAGCTGGTGTTGATGATGTTAGCTGGTATTGACGATGTTAGCTGGTATTGACGATGCTAGCTGTTATTGATGATGTTAGCTGGTATTGATGATGTTAGTTTATGGTAGCGGGTAGTTTGTGATAAACTACCTCTGGGCGTGACGACCCTGCCTTACGTGAGTCCCAGGCACAGCTGGCCCGGCTGTCAGTACCTGGTAAGGGCCCCTCCCAGGGTTACGCGGTTTTCTCACTGCCTTGTGAGTGTCTCGGGAGAGTCAATGGCTAAGGGAGTGAACCCCGACAGAAAATCAGGAGTGGGGCCCCTCAGGCGGTTTTGTGACGCACTGCGGCACATTCCCGGCAGCCCCTGCAGCCAAACTGGTACCAAACGTCGTGCGTGGCACTGCTTTGGACATCACCAGCAAGGCTGAAGGGGGGATCCTGACGCATGGGCAACCCAGGATTTCCAGAATAAACCTGCCCGGGCTTTGCACTAACAAGAGGTGCAAAAATGGGGAGAGGACACTCTTCGGCCACCTAATCGTGGCCAAGAAACACGGATGGCAGCAGTCACAGGTTATGAGCTCATTTTAGATTGGCGTAAAAAATGGGCGCCACGGGTTGCCATCGTCGGTGGGAGGGGTCATTGTACCCCAATGGATAGCTACCGCCACCCGCCTCAAGCTGGGCAGCCCCCAGCCAATAAGGTGCTTTCCCGCCGTGGCTCACCTGCTCCAATGTGTGCTTGGAGCTTATGGTTCATCACCAGACAAGTGGGCTGCAAAACCTGCACCAGACAAAAGCAAAACAAAACGAAAGAAGGTTCCAGCCCTTCATTTTGCAAGCTGGAATGTATGCACAATGTGTTCTAGACTCTCCGAAAGATCTATTGCAGATTGAGGACATCCGCAAGACTGCAGTTATCGACAGGGAGTTGGCGAGACTCCATGTTGATATTGCAGCACTGCAGGAGACCCGGCTTGCTGGCAGTGGCTCACTACGAGAGAGTGACTACACTTTCTACTGGCAAGGAAAACAGCAGAACGAACCAAGGCAACACGGTGTTGGGTTTGCCGTCAAAAACACTCCTTGGCATGATAGAACCACCGACTGCAGGCTCCGAGCGGATTCTACTCATGAGATTGCTCACTGCTTCTGGCCATGTACACATCCTGAGTTTCTACGCCCCAACACTCTACTCACCTCCGGAGATTCATGACCAGTTCTATGAAGAGCTTCACAATATTATTCGCAAAATCCCCAGCTCTGAGCACATGTTTCTGTTGGAAGACTTCAATGCAAGGGTTGGGGCTGACCACGACGCGTGGCCCGCATGCCTTGGCTATCATGGCATTGGAAAGATGAATGCCAGTGGCCAAAGACTACTGGAGCTTTGTTCATACCACAATCTCTGTATTACAAACTCATTCTTTCTCACAAAACCATGCCATAAAGTATCATGGAGACATCCAAGGTCTCTTAATTGGCACCAACTGGACCTCGTCATCACCCGACGAGCCCTCCTCAACTCGGTACTCATCACACGCAGCTACCACAGTGCAGTCTGTGACACCGATCACTCGCTGGTATCCAGCAAGGTCCGACTACGCCCCAAAAAGATACACGGACTCAAACAAAAGCGCTACCTACGCATCAACTCTGCCAAGACATCCCTCCCAGAGCTCATTCAATTATTCCAACACAGCCTTGAGCAGTCCCTACACGACACACCAGATGGAAGCGTGGAGACAAAGTGGGCATACATCAGAGACGCCATCTTCAATGCAGCCATCAATATCTTCGGCAAGCAGACAAGGCGGAACACAGACTGGATTGAGGAACACCTGGCTATATTGGAACCCATCCTCCAAGCCAAGCGCATGGCGCTCCGGAAGTACAAGCAAGTCCCAAGTACAGAATCATTAAGGGCTCTGAAACCTGCTCGCAGTGCAGCTCAAACGACTACCAGATGCTGCGCCAACAACTACCGGGTGAATCTCAGTAGTAGGATCCAACTCGCCTCTGACACTGGCAATATCCGTGCCATGTATGAAGGCATCAAGACAGCCTTTGGTCCAAACATCAGGAGGACTGCCCCCCTTAAATCCAGCACAGGGGCCATCATCACTGATAAACAAGAGCAAATGAGCAGGTGGGTAGAACACTACTCAGAGCTCCACTCGCGAGACAACGGTGTGTCAGAAGCTGCCCTTGCTGCTGTAAAGCCCCTACCAACGATACACGAACTGGACAATGTTCCAACCTTGAAGGAAATTGACAACGCCATCAACTCACTAGCCAGCGGCAAGTCACCGGGACAGGACGGCATCACACTTGAGGTACTGAAATGTGCAAAACCCGCCGTCCTCACAAAACTCCATGAACTTCTCTGCCAGTGCTGGGAAGAAGGAGCAGTGCCTCAAGACATGAGAGACTCCAACATCATCATCCTATATAAAAACAAGGGTGACCGTGGGGACTGCAATAACTACCGCGGCATCTCCCTTCTGAGCATCGTGGGGAAAACCTTTGCCTGTGTGGCCCTCAGCAGGTTACAGATACTATCTGAGAGGACGCATCCTGAGGCTCAGTGTGGCTTCAGAGCAGGAAGGTCTACAATTGGCATGCTCTTCTCCTTGCGTCAGCTACAGGAGAAATGTCGAGAACAGAGAATGCCCCTGTACTTGGCATTCATTGATCTTACAAAAGCCTTTGACCTCATCAGTAGGGGATGCTTTTTCAAACTCCTCAAAGTGATCGGCTGCCCACCGAAGCTGCTGGCAGTAATCTCCTCTTTCCATGACAACATGAAAGGAACAATACAGCACAGCGGCACCACCTCAGAGGAATTTCCCATACTCAGCGGTGTAAAGCAGGGGTGTGTGCTTGCCCCAACACTACTTGGCATCTTTTTCTCACTTATGCTCACACATGCCTTTGGGACAGCAGAAGAGGGAGTCTTCCTTCATGCAAGATCTGATGGCAAACTCTTCAACCTTGGCCGTTTCAGATCCAAAACCAAAGTCCGCAAAGTCCTCATCAGAGAACTCCTATTTATCTGATGATGCTGCGCTGACAGCTCACACAGAACAAGGTTTGTAGACACTCATCGACGACCTTGTCAATGCCTGCAACAACTTTGGCCTGACAATCAGTCTGAAAAAGACCAATGTCATGGGCCAGGATGTCAGAGACACCCCTTCCATAAACATTGGCAGCTACACCCTGGAAGTCGTTCAGGACTTCACCTACTTGGGTTCTACCATTACCTACAATTTGTCCCTTCTCACAGAGATTGACAAGCGCATTGGGAAGGCGTCTACAGCTATGTTCAGGTTGACTAAAAGAGTGTGGAAGAACAAATCCCTAACGCTCAACACCAAAGTACAAGTGTACCGGGCCTGCGTCCTTAGCACCCTCCTCTATGGGTCTGAGTCCTGGACAACATAAACCCATCAAGAACATTGACTAAACACATTCCACCTCCGATGTCTCAGGCGCATCCTCGATATCAGATGGCAAGATCGCATTCCCAACACCTCAGTTCTCAACTTGGCCAACATTCCCAGCATGTACTCTCTACTCACTCATAGGCGCCTGAGATGGCTTGGACATGTGCGCCACATGAAGGATGGCAGAATACCCAAGGATGTCTTGTACGGCGAGCTGGCATCAGGCACACGGGTCACTGGTCGCCCGGTCCTGCGCTTCAAAGATGTCTGTGAACGGGACACGAAGAGCTGCGACATCAACCCCAATGACTGGGAGAAAACTGCCGGCGACCGACTCGGCTGGCAGCAGGCTGTGAAAACAGGCCTCAGGAGAGGCGAGGAGAAAAGACGCACCGCTTGGCAGACCAAGAGGGAGCGACGTAAAGAAAAAGCAACAAACACCTCTGGAGCTGCCACCGCACTCACTTGCAATTGCTGTGGCAAGGATTGTCACTCAAGGATTGGCCTACTAAGTCATTCTAGGCGCTGCGAAACCTACAGCTGACCTCGTAAGGCGCAAAAAGAATTGTTTCTCGAGACACAAAGGCCGATGTGAGTGACGAATGTGTTGAGTTTTTCCAATCTAAACTACTGTATAGTACAGTACTCCTGTGGCGTAATATACATATTGACTAGCAGAGGCAAACCACACCGCAACACGTGTTATTTTATCCTGCATATGTGCACACTAAACTGGACGTGCCCTGGCGATCTTACCAGCGCAAAATAAAAATAAGTCCATGGGCCAGATCTTTATTTGGTACCATGGGTAGTGGCAAAATATTGTGAAACCAGTTTCTGTATATGACTAATACAAGTGAATTATGTAATTATTGTTCAATGAAATAATTGCATCATTTCACTTCAATTGGCAATGTAATGATGCTGTTGTTGGTACAACTCAAGTGTTGCCAGATCGGGTGGTACCAAAACAGTAGAATATTTGGCCTGGGCTCATGGTCCATTGTCTTTTTTTAATGTGTTCAGTGTGTGCATGCACGTGATACTGATATGTGCAATGTATGAATGTACAGTACAATGCTTAATAAGGGTATGAGCACGGATAGCTACGTACGGTGCAAAAGAAGTTCGAAATACATGAGATTAATTCGATTCTGCTTACAATGCATGCATAGAATTGTGTTGAGAATTGTAAAAAAAAAGTCTTCGTATGTTTTATGCAAATACTTGACGTGACCTGTGAAGCCACTAGCAGAGCTGAAATGCATCGCGATAAAATATTTTATTTTTAGACACAATCATAACCCCCAAATCATGACAATTCATCTAAACTCAAGGGGGACGTTTCAATCCTTACAGACGTAATGCTCAATGTGTGTGTAACCCAAGCACAAACTATGTGGACACGTCATGTTGGGCTGTTGCTGTGCTTGGCTGTGATTCATCAGAGCAAACATTTAGGATTTATTGAGATTTCAAAATCCTCCAAGTCTCATCTTACCACAAATATTTACCACGAAATGGTTGCGTAAATTTCAAAGGTGCTCAATGAAAAGCGATATAATTTTATGTGTTGAATGAAGATGGTATTTTACGGTAATAACAGTAATTGTTAATTCACACAGTTTCAAAGTGGCAAACTTACCCGATGTGTGAATTGCGTACAAATAAACTTGGAAACACTACGGTACTGTATATATATATCTGTTTTACTTCAAATTAAGTTAAAATAAGATAACATTGATCATGGAGCTGAACACCGAGGTGTTTGACATTTAAGTTTTGGCATTTGAGCATTGGTGTCTGAGATGGATGCTTGGAATTTCATGGCAAGATATGATAAGCAACGCGAAAGTTCGGAAGAGAACATGGAGGGTAAGTGTTGTAGGCATGATATTGGCAAACACATTCTGCTGGGTAGGATAGCTGTACAGGATTGAGGAAAGCAGTGTTAACGAGGCAGATGTTGGAATAGTCTACACGAGTCTAGCAATCAAGAGGAACACTTCAGAGCAACTGGTGGGATACTGTGACGGCAAATCTTGAAGGTCGCGTGTCTACTGTGCAGCAGATGTGAGATATAGGAGAAGGCAGAACGCATTGGATGTGCGGTTGTTATCAACGGTTTTGGCCATGACAACGTCTTGATATTGTAAATGCAATATATCTGTAAAGTATGTGAAAATAGATTGGTCGAACAAACGCCGTACATTAATACTATGTAGGTTATGAATAGCATTGGTGAATGTTTACAGTCGTAGCAATGAATCTTGATGATGCTGACATGAAAGTGTTAAAGCCCCATCCACAGGCATTGGGCGTGCAATTCAGTGTGTGTGTTGCTGTGCCCCCTAGCGGAATGTAGCCGAGAATCCGGCAAACTGATGAATGCCTTGAGCAGCGTTATCCCCTGCGAATCTCAAGGTCTTCTATCTGCTCTTCTTATCTTACAAGTTACAACACGCAATTTTGCTTTCTGTACATGACATCGCATTTTATTATGGGCGACATTCGTATAAAACTGTGGCTTAGAAATGTACACACCCGGTGTTCGCCACAGGAAGTGGCCATATCTCAGCACACCGCTCAGTACGGGTTTAAAGGCGGGGAACCCAGGATAGGGGCCGTCCATAAATGACGTCACGCACCTAGGGTGGGGGGGGGGGTCAGACATTTGTGACGATGTGTGACGAGGGGGGGGGGGTGTTTGAGAAATGTGACGTCACGTAAAAATGCGCAACGTTTAATTAATATATAGAATTGTTATAACAACACTAATTGTTATAACACTCCTACAACATCAGAGTGTAGCGCCACATTAAACACGCACTACAATGACAATAGTTTAAAGCGATTTGTGAGCATGTTTTATTTTCAAAATGGAAATATGGTTTTGGGGGGGGGGGCAGAGCTTTGTGACGTCATATTTGAGGGGGGGGGGGTCTGACTTTTTATGACGCCGTGTGACGAGGGAGGGGGGGTCAAAAATCGTCCAAAATCGCGTGACGTCATTTATGGACGGCCCCAAAGGTTCAGATATAATTTCGCCACTGATGTTAGCCGTGACTGAGAATTAAAACTTAGGTTGCTCGCCTTATAACGGAGTTCACTATTACCCGATAAATATGCAACGTTGGCCCAACTTTCCGTGTTTACTGAGTCATGCCTTGCGTCCCTGCATGGAAACGTGCGTTTTGTGTTCTATTATTGGTTTTCATTTGTCTGTATTTAGGGGCCGTCCATAGATGACGTCACGCACCTGGGGGGGGAGGGGGTCAGACATGTGTGACAATGTGTGACGAGGGGGGGGGTTGAGAAATGTGACGTCACATCAAAATGCGCAACTTTAAATAAATATATACAACACGTTCTACTTCATTTAAATAGACTTTTTAATAATTTTTTTCTCCTACAACATCAGAGTGCAGCGCCACATTAAATACGCACTACAATGACAATAGTTTAAAGCGATTTGAAGCATGTTTTATTTGGGGGGGGGCAGAGCATTGTGACGTCATATTTGAGGGGGGGTCTGACTTTTTGTGACGCCGTGTGACGAGGGGGTCAAAAATCGTCCAAAATCGCGTGACGTTATTTATGGACGGCCCTTACTCTCTCCCTGGTCATATTGTTCATCTAGGATGATTGTGTAACACGCTCGGAGATACTCTTTGTATTTAAGTGCTGCATAAATGCAAGTCCTAATCACCATCCCAATCAACCGTGCTCCTTTTATATAAGAAGCACCCCGTCTATACTTTATTAAATACAACCAGTTTTTATATTCTTAGTTTTTTCGGTAAAGTCACGTTGAAGGGAAACAACAAAATAATAAAATATATTTTTATTGTTTTATATTGTTGTATATATATTTTATTATTTTGTTGTTTCCCTTCAACGTGACTTTACCGAAAAAACTAAGAATATGAATTACTGCAGTCACGAAAGCTTTAAATCAAAATACAACCAGTTTTGTTTATCTCTAAACATTTATACCTGGAACATATCTTGTTATATTACTGAACTTAGTTTGTCCTTACCCAACAACCACTGGTGACGAAGTGATAGAATGTCCCACGTTCCTATTGTTGCGTTCAATCAAGTACAGCGTATCTTTAAGTAAACTAAACGAAAACTGCTCATTATGGTATGTGTCGCACCTTGCTTTGGCAAGACTCATCGTCTTTGTGAGGACGGCATACGTGAACTGCACTTATTGCTATAGATCAGCAGGGGGTGGTCGTTCATGCCTACAGAATTTGGTTTTAGGGGCCGTCCATAAATGACGTCACGCGATTGTGAACGATTTTTGACCCCCCCCCTCTCGTCACACGGCATCACAAAATGTCAGACTCTCCCCTCAAATATGACGTCACAAAGCTCTGCCCCCCCCCCCCAAAAAAAATAAAACATGCTTCAAATCGCTTTAAAATATTGTCATTGTAGTGCGTATTTAATGTGGCGCTGCACTGATGCTGTAGGGGTGTTGTTATAACAATTCGTGTTGTTATAACAATTCTATATTTATATTATTGGTTCTTTCGGTAAAGTCACGTAGAAAGGAAACAATAAAATAATAAAAATATAAAACAATACAATTCTCACGACGTTTCGACTGCAACACAAGCAATCATCATCATGTGTGAAAACCACAGCAAGAAAATTTGAAAAAAGTGGCGTTTTTTAACGTTAGCACCACGGAGAGCGATTTGCCAGTTATTCAGATGGACGAGTCCATCTATGTTCGGAAAAGAGGGGAGAGACGAAATTAATGGATGCGGTCTGAAAGCCACCTTAAGCGTGAACAATCAATTAAGACCCGAAATGGTTTATCAAATCCTTCCAATGATTACTAAGCCAGAATCCATCTTCTCGGTTGAAATTGTCTGTGTTTGTATATGTGGATAGCCTCATGAACGAATCTCTAATGGTAGCCTGATGGCTTACAAAGAACCTCTGTCTTGGAGAAGTCAATGTAATGTGAGCCTACTGAATTATAACATGGATCTGCCACGGCTGAGGTGTTGGTCCTACCGTGTTTTAGGTCTGCTTTGTGTTCACGAATTCGGTCCGAGAAGATGGATTCTGGCTTAGCAATCATTGGAATGATTTGATAAACCATTTCGGGTCTTAATTGATTGATCACGCTTACGGTGGCTTTCAGACCGCATACATAATTTTTTCGTCTCCCCCCTCCTCTTTTCCGAACATAGATGGACTCGTCCATCTGAACAAACTGTCAAATCGCTCTCCGTGGTGCTAACATTAAAAAAAAACGTCACTTTTTTCAAAATGTTCTTGCTGTGGTTTTCACACCTGATAATAATTGCTTGTGTTGCAGTCGAAACGTCGTGAAAATTGTATTGTTTTATATTTTATTATTTTATTGTTTCCCTTCTACGTGACTTTACCGAAAGAACCAAGAATATGAATCCCTGCAGTCACGAAAGCTTTAATTACAAAGCGAAGCTTTAAAGAATCGACGGCGTCTCATCATATTGTGATTTATACGGGGAGAGTAGAAAGAGGACACCTTTGCAGCGACGAAATTCTCGGTAGTTAGAGGTCTTAAAGGGAGAGAGAGAGAAGGCGTGGTAACTCCAGTATTTAACTCACACCGGGACAGGGAGAACGCGGCACCTCTCGCACAGAGACCGACATCACTCGGCAGCCATCTTGCTCAGGGAAAGCAATGCAACTTCCGCCTTGGCCGACCCATGCGTGCTGACGTCACCCACCCCTGCGTGGTGACGTCACCCACCCTGCGTGGGAATGTGAACCACACCCCCCGTCCTGCGTGCCGACGTCAACCCACCCTGCGTGCCGACGTCACCCCACCCCCTGCGTGGTAACGTCACCCAACCTGCGTGGGAACGTCACCCATCCTGCGTGGTGACGTCACCCAACCTGCGTGGGAACGTCACCCATCCTGCGTGGTGACGTCACCCAACCTGCGTGGAAACGTCACCCATCCTGCGTGGTGACGTCACTCAACCTGCGTGGGAACGTCACCCATCCTGCGTGGTAACGTCACCCAACCTGCGTGGAAACGCCACTCAACCTGCGTGGGAACGTCACCCATCCTGCGTGGTGACGTCACCCAACCTGCGTGGAAACGTCACCTACCCTGCGTGGGAATGTGAACAACACCCCCCACCCTGCGTACCGTCATCGCCCCACCCCTGCGTGGTAACGTCACCCAACCTGCGTGGAAACGTCACCAAACCTGCGTGGGAACGTCAACCCATCGTGCGTGGTGACGTCATCCAACCTGCGTGGAACCGTTACCCAACCTGCGTGGTGACCTCCCCAACCCTGCGCGATGACGTCACCCCCCCTCCCTGCCGACCAACCTTGCGCGCCGACGTCGCCCTTTCAGCGCGCCCACATCACCCCGCCTCCTGCGTTGTGACGTCACAAACCCTGCGTGATGACATCACCCACCCTCCGCGTTTTACGTCACCCCACCCCCTTGCGTGGTGACGTCACCCCACCCCCTGCGCGCCGACGTCGCAACTCGGGCCCCCGTAACCAGGGCGACGACGGACGCGCCCTGCCCACCCCTCCCCTGCCTCCTTTCCCGCTCAAAGCGAGGCGTGACGTCACACCGCGCGGGTATGACGTCACGCGCCGCGCTGACACTGCGAGGTTCACAACTCAAGAGGAGGTGGTGGTGGTGAGGTGGTGGTGGTGGGGGGGTAACGATGGTCCGGGCCGGCCGCCGCTGCCGCTGGTGTCCCTGTTGTCGCTGAACCTCTTGCCGCCGGGAACCCCCCACCCCACGCTGCTCCCGACTCCCCCACCACCCCATCCCACCCCCCTCCGCACTCCTGCGTTCCCTACCGCCAGAGCAGCGAAGAGGTGGCCACACAATGACGCTCATAGGAGCGAGCGATTTCGTGGCGGAGGCGATGGATGATTACAGCGCGCCCACGGCCTCGGACTTCGGCAGCCGGATCGCGAGCTGCCGTCACACCGTGAGCACGCTTGAAGAGGTGCGCGCGTGGGTTCAGTGGTGTGGGTTCAGTGGTGTGGTGGTTGTGGTGTGGGTTCAGTGGTGGTGGTTCAGTGGTGGTGGTTGTGGTGTGGGTTCAGTGGTGGTTGTGGTGTTGGTTGTGGTGTGGGTTCAGTGGTGTTGGTTGAGTGGTGGTTGTGGTGTGGGTTCAGTGGTGGTGGTTGTGGAGTTGGTTGAGTGGTGGTTGTGGTGTGGGTTCAGTGGTGGTGATTGTGGAGTTGGTTGAGTGGTGGTTGTGGTGTGGGTTCAGTGGTGGTGGTTGTGGAGTTGGTTCAGTGGTGGTGGTTGAGTGGTGGTTGTGTCTTTGTAGAGAAGTCTGTCGTGAGGGTTTGTGATATTGTTGGGATCGCGCTGTTCGGTGGTGGTGGGTGGTTTGGGTTGTCGTGGTTACTGGGTTGGTGGTTGGAGGTAGTTCGTGTCAGTGGAGTACTCTTACGACAGCTGTGATTTTGTTTTTGGGATCGCGTTTTTCGGTCGTGGTAGGAGAAGGTGGTGATGGTGGTGGTGGAAGGAGGAGGTTATCAGTGAAGTCAATGGAGAAGTTGCTCTGTTGTGATGGTTGTGATTTTTGGAGTCTCTAGTGGTGATGGTGGTGGTGGAAGGAGGAGGAGGTTATCAGTGAAGTCAATGGAGAAGTTGCTCTGCTGTTGTGAGAGTTGTGATTTTTGGAGTCTCTAGTGGTGATGGTGGTGGTGGAAGGAGGAGGAGGTTATCAGTGAAGTCAATGGAGAAGTTGCTCTGCTGTTGTGAGAGTTGTGATTTTTGGAGTCTCTAGTGGTGATGGTGGTGGTGGAAGGAGGAGGAGATTATCAGTGAAGTCAATGGAGAAGTTGCTCTGTTGTGAGGGTTGTGATTTTTGGAGTCTCTAGTGGTGATGGTGGTGGTGGAAGGAGGAGGAGGTTATCAGTGAAGTCAATGGAGAAGTTGCTCTGCTGTTGTGAGAGTTGTGATTTTTGGAGTCTCTAGTGGTGGTGGTGTTGGTGGAAGGAGGAGGAGGTTATCAGTGAAGTCAATGGAGAAGTTGCTCTCTGTTGTGAGGGTTGTGATTTTTTGAGTCTCTAGTGGTGATGGTGGTGTTGGGGCGTGCGCGCGGACCCCGTAGCGAGATGTCAACAACGCGAGCGCGCGCGTGTCCGTGACGCCTGTTAACACGTGCGGTTATACACAATGATTGTGGTATACACAATGATAGTGTTATAACACGTATTATACACTCATTGTGTTTTAACAGTAGTACACACACAGTAGTACACAGTAGTACACACACAGTACACAATGTTGCCCCACGTCCGACCGCATAGTCGCCCGCATACGAGTGAATTCAAACCACAGCAAATTTAGGGTAGAAATAGGTGAGCCGCATCTACGCGAAATCGCAAAAACCCAACCCGCATAAAGCTAGGGAAACCTGCATTGAAGGTATGGAGCAGTGGCGTAGTGGTTAGCACATTGCGCTATGAACCCGGCCACCAGAGTTCTAACTATTTTTTTTATTTTACCAGGTAAGACCCAATGATAGCTCAGCGAAGTGGCTTATGTGGAAATTTATAGCAGCGAAATGCTCGAAACGCATGTTTCTAAGTGTGGAGGGGAAAACTCAAAGAGGATCCAGAGAAAAATCCACGCGACCACGAGGAGAGCATGCAAACACCAAATATACAGCAGGCGTCAGGGTCGGGATCGAACCCACGACCTCCTACATACCAGGCGCGGCAGTTCACATATCCTAGCCACCGTGGCACACCCGTTCGGTGTCCGGCTGCCACTAAAATCAGTGACGAGTGATATCTGAACCAGCCCTGGGTACCCCTTCACTGACCAGCGTGGTAAAGTATGGTTAAACAGCCCATGTGGCGACACGGAATGGGAAGGGCTATCATGCTATTTATTATATGAATATATTAAACTGCGCACGAATACTTGTGTGCACAGTCAGGTCTCCATTTGAAAAGTGTCAATGAAACTGTGTGTGTTCTAGCTTGTGGTTGCACAACCATGAAACAACTTGGACTTCAACATGCCTGGCCTTCAACAGCTACAGCTACTTCCAGTAAATGCATTACGCCAATGAAATTGTTACCTCGGACATGTATACCAATAATATCGCCGCAGGATAATTGCTCGGCAGCAGCTACACGAGTTTTGGCTCGTAAGTAAAGTAACCAAATCAGAGTGCTTGTCATGTCTACCCTTTGGCAGTCGCAGAGTCCACCGCGGTTAACCCGAGGGTATAGGTGGAGCCCTGAAATTCTCTATGCTGTTCCAGTGGTCGGGTCTGGAAGCAGTAATGCATATTTTCTCAGAGAATATAGCTTATTCATCCCTTTATGCAACGATGTGTTACATGTCTTGAATAGGGTCATACACGAGCCTAGAACATGTATACCAAAGACATCATGGCCAGGTCTTTTGAATGCCAGGCATGCTTGCATCCTAGGGTTAAAAGGTTAACATGTCATACTGTGTGTTAGTAATAGTTGCAATTTATTTTCACTTGCGTGTTATGAGGAGGGTGCCTTGGCTTGGCTCTCTCAAGAAAAAAATCATAGATTCTGAACCCTAATAGCATATTATATTACTCCTTGCAGCGTGTGTTTATATGTGTGTGGACTGTGTGGTGTCTTGGGTGACGTGGTAGTGAAGTGATATGCCCAATATCCGACGAACTTGCCAACCTGAGTTCAATTCTTGGCGATTTGCAAACATCATTGGTGGACATTTGAACTGGTCCTGATCCTTCGCTAGGTCGACTCGGTCTGAAATGAGTACTTGGCAATGTGGTGTACCACTTGACCATGCACACACAGACCATGGTGTTTTCAACATTGCAGCGTTGAAGCATGTGCACGTGTCGTCTTGTATTACGTAGCCATGGGTGGTGTCAGATTGGGGTGTGTTGGTTTTCATGTATTACTTAGCAGTGAGCAATAATGGTGTTGTCATACTGTTATTAAGTAGGGTGTGCGCCTAAAAAATAGTGCTTATTACAAAAGAGGGATGGCCCATCACCAGCTCTTTGGCCCTGAAGCTGTTTGCCATTCTGAAACGTAATATCACAGGAACTAATTAATGCGTTGGTGGAAGCTGCTTTTCAACAGAATGGTGGACAATGTTGCTTTTATCACCAGCAGTAGCAACCATGATCTCTCTATTGCTCAATTAATGTCTCCTTAAGCATCACCTTCTGCCTCACGAAGCAACAATCATCCATTTGGCTCCTTCACACGAGTCGAGTAAATTGTTCCATCTCCATGGTTCTCCATCTCCATCATCTCGGGCATGTTTCCCTGTTTGACGTCCCCCAATGACGGTGCCTTTCCTGTAATAACAGGAGTTTGGGACGAAGTGTCCCCCAAATAAGCATTCGGTCGCTGTTCAGTTACAATGTTAGTTTTGTGCCACTGGTGTGAATTCTGCACTGCGTGGAACCATGTAGGTCTGACCTCTCGCTCAGCGGAGATTGCCTTAGGGTCTTTCCCAATGGTTTTTGGCGCTGGAGAGGAGAGCATGTGAATGAGAGCAAGACAAAAGGGTTAGAGATAGACGGGGTCCAGTCCATGGAGGACCTTCAAAACACTGATCTTGTAGTTCACTCAGTAATGAATGTGGGAGCCAGTGGAGTTATCCGAAGATTGGGGTGGTGAGTCTTCTTTACGTGTTAAGGTGTCTCTGATCCAAGTACTCATCAGGGTTGACCTGGCTTAACCTCGAGATATGACCGGTGTATTCAGGGTGATTTTTCTATAAGGCAAATTGAAACGTCTTATTTGCACAAAAGTCTAATTGTTATCGAATAGCCTTTGAAGGGCACAAACACACCATGCTCGTGCCATTTATATTTGTTCGTCTGCTTGTTTTTATTTCAATTGGAGCTTCTGACTTTAGATAATGTAAGCATGTGTATCAGTTAATATTTTTCATACCAGACAATAAGTCTTTTAACTTATAAGAGGGCTTTAGGTATTTCGTGGCACATATTTTGAATGACTGACAAAGGCATGCAACGATCCGGACATATTTCTCATATCCGAACCTAATGCTCTGTCATTGACATGGAAAACGAGTAGTGTGGGTGCGGACAAGCTGTTCTCAAAAAAAATGACGGTATGTGAAGAGTGGTGTTTCATTATCTCGGTTCTGGAAAGGTGTATTGTAGCACTCAGGTTACTGGTCACACTGGACTATTATATAATAACCCGGGGGCTCTCCCTACAGGTGCGATAATTGATCAGCAGGGTATCTGTCATTGGAAATCTTGCGTAAGCTTAAGCTGTGCGTTGATTCTATATCATCTAGGTATCATCAAACATTTACCGATGTCTCATTGACATGTCCGGTCGTGTCCCTTAAGGAGAGCCACGATTTAATTATTTTGTGCAAAAACACTTTACAGAGATGCATCAGACCTCGGGGTTGCTGCTGAGCGTGACTAAGGTACTGCACCGTTATAATCTCTGACAAGTAGAGCTGGAATCGCATAACAAAGGCTCGTAGTGGAGGCATTTCGAGTGCCATTAAGCATTGGCGCTTGTAATATCGCGCTGCGCATATGCTGTTAAGATAGCGCGTGCGGCACACACACGCTGCAAGTGCTCTTCCTGGCTGGTTTATTCGCCGTGGCACACATTCCGTTTTGCAGCGGAATGATGAGTGCAGCCGTTAACATTTCACTCTGCTAACCGCAAGCACGTTACCAACTCCGATAAAAAAAAATTACCCTCAAGATAGTGTGAGAGAGCTCCAAAACAGGATAACATCTGCAGTTTCTTTTAAATTGTGCACTGTAAACCGTTTTCTTATGGTGTCACGCTGGGCTTTTTTGATTGGAGAGTAACTGCAAGGCCATTGGTGTCATGACAATATTTGTAGAAATGTTAGCTCATTTTAAATTTAAAGCACTGCTTCAGGACGTTAATATGCAACGTTGCATTGAAGCACTCAAACCAAGCTGAAAAGCAAAGGAGGATTTGCTGCGACGAC